ATATATATATATATATATATATATATATATATATATAAATCAAACCACCAAGACAATATGTGCTCATCTTTAGGGTTATAAAGTCGTGCTGTTTCCAATCCTGTATCCTCTGCTCATCTGCATTGTGAATATAGTAAACCGTTCACTTGAGCTAATTCATTATTTCATGCTGGTATATTTTCTGTCTTTCATTTGTAAAGCCCAGATTGTTTGAATCGCTGGATGTTTAATTCAAGGTGTTTGACAGCTGAAACCGGTTTTGCTGATTGAGACTGTCAGTGCAGATAGACTTCTGTCATCTTGAAGCAGCTGTGGAGGATGAGGACCTCGGCCCAGGGGGCAGTACTGTATATCAGCTGGCTTGCCAGAAGCAATGCTTTGTTGAAGTATACAGCATTAACTGCATTCATTCCCGTTTTACTCTCAAACAAATGTCTGTGGAATCTAGGGGATATTAGACAAAAAATATGGTTCTGTCATCTCTCACATTATGTCTTCTGTGAGTACAGTGTTTAATTATGATGTTTTTGTGTCTGGAAATTGCTTGGATAAAGATCTCCCTGACCACAGACTGTTGTGGTGTCAAAACTATTTCATCTTGGCTTTGCCAGAGAATCATGGATTTATTTGCTATTGATATCTGTTCATTTTCCCAAGGAGTATTCTGTTTTTCTTTTAACATGATACACAGATCTTGACCAATATTAACTGTGTTTACATGCACCCAAATGATCCATTAGTAATTGGACTCATGCCTCAGTAGGACTGAAAAGCCTTCATGTAAACATCTAAATCAATTCGACTGAGCTGAATCTAAATGACATTTTAATTGGTTTGAAAAGGGTGGTGTAGACCTGAAACAATCCAATCATTAGGAAAAAACTATGCATGTAAATGCTTGAATGCAACTATCTTCTCAATCAGATTCACACATACCTTGCACGCCGCATGTTTAAAAGAGCCCTTTAATGAAATAATCTGTTTACATACGGTTCACTACTTACAAATGTGCATATCTATATTTACATCTTATGAACTGATCAGTAAAGGAGACTGATTTGACTAAATATTGCTTATAAAGAACTCGACATATACTTGTCAACAAGTCAAAAATAACAGTTATACCCATGGTAGATTCAGTGGCATTGTAGCAGCTTTGTTCAGAATGTAAACCAAAATATGAACCGGATTGCAGAATCTGAAATAGAAAATTAGTGCGTGTAAACATACCTGTTGTTTGCTTGTTGCGCTTCAAATTCACGGTGATCGGTTGACTTTGCAATTAGGCATTATCGAAAATTCCATCTGAGTTTGTCTGGAGTTGCATCAATCCTTTAGACTCATACCTGCTCCTTCCTCCATCTGTCTGCAAGTCACCTCTGACAAACCAGCCCAAAGGTTGTTGGTCATATTAGACGAGAAGAAAATTTGCTCACCTAAGTGTTTCACACCGACTTCAGATCTGTTTTGTGTATTTGTGAAAACTGTTGGCACGGTACAACAACCTTAAGCAGAAACGATTCCAAAGAAAATCGTTGTTTGGAATTACAATAGACAGTTTGACATGACACAGATGTAGAAGACTCTGCGTAGTTTTCCTTACTCCATTCAATGGAATTGCCCCCTTATTAGAAACTATCTGTTGTTGTGGACATTTATTATTAGTGAATGAGAGTACAAGCAGAGAGAAGCTTCACACACTCCAAAATCAACTTAGCTGCTGCTAAAACTTCTGCTTCTCTGTGACATTCAGCTTTTACGTAGACTTTATATGTTTGCAATAAGGGTGTGAGAGTTTACAGGTATGTCTAAATGGATTGAGTTTGTGTCTGGGTGACCAATGTTAAATGGACAGGTTGTGCATATGTGTATTTGGTTCATCTGGGTGAGTCAGGCAGTGATGACGTATGTTGAAAGAAGGTGTAGAACATGCTGTTCAGTGTACTTGGCATATGTTTACAATCCTTAAACCCCCCTTTTTTAGATTTAAACTGATTTGAACTGACAGGTAATGCTGATATATGACATGCAGTTTTGACATCTTTATGGTTTTGCTTTCAAATATTCAGTACTTTTTGACTATTTAGCCCTTTTTTCCAACTTTTCTGTATTAGCAGGTTACATAACAGAAACATCTTAGCTGTTAAGCTGCCTTATTTCATGTAAATGCAGGATGGGTTTTCAAAAGAACAATTTCTGTTGAGCTTGTCATTAGAAATTGCAGAGAGGGAGTGTTGTTTATTTGGGCTACAGGTCATTGTAAGATTGCAGTTGTTGAAATGAGTAAAATATTAAATAAGACTGTCACATTGATCTTGCATTTTTCCATTTATTCTACCATCAACTGATTTGCTCTTGGCAGTATGCACAATTCAAAGGTTCATTGACTCTTTACTAGGAAAAAGATTGGTTGAATCTGTTTTGCATTAGATCCTCCCGATTTTTTCACTTGATTTCATTGAATCGTTGCTGACAACCTCTAACTTTTTTAGTGTCCCATTTGCAAGGTTTTATTTGAAGCCATTCAATGTGAAAATCTGTGAAAACAGACATAGCAAGCAAGTTCATTGTTTTCTCAAACCTGGACTTGAGAGATATGATTATTTGTAGTCATTATTAAATTATTCTTGTCATCACTAAATGTTTTCTTGTAAAATGCATCGAATATAGAAATGGGTTGTGCTCATTTCAACCCAAAGTGAAACAGCGTCTGAATGTCGTATTATTTTTGTATTTTTGTGGCTGTGGTGCACAGGATGGGCAAAAATGATTGGAACATTGGGATTGTACTTTTTGACTGTTTAAGCTTTATATCCTGAGGAAATCCGAAAATGTCTGCTTAATGGCTCCTGTAACACGTGATAGCAGTGCAGAGCAGAGATGCATGTAAAACATCAAACTTCAAAGTCAGTTTTCCCCTGATTCTCTTTACTCAGCAGGACTCTTCATGCAGCACAATAGCTGCTGAGGAGGGGGAAAAAATCCAGGTCTGGACAGACGACAGGATCTGCTTTTCAGCACGTTCATCGAATCTTTCACCACTGGTTTTCTATCTGTGGAGTTTGAATCACTCACTGTGTCCTAAAAACATTAAGCCAGATCTATGATGTCAATGCAATTCAAACATCATTAAAAACTAATGGCATTCTATCAAAGTCCCCTAAAGGCGCATAATTAAGTTCACTCGGCGGTCATCTTGCTTTTTCTTGCAATTTGAATTGACCAAAATCTCTAAATCTGTTTGACAAGATTACAATTCAATAATATAATGCAGTCAAATCTGACAACAAAAGCATCATAGATTTAGCTTCTTAACTTAAAGGAATAGTTCACCCAAAAAGGAAAATGTTGTAATTATTTACTGTATGTCGTTCCAAACCTGTATAAGTTTCTTTCTTATGTAAATAATGACAATATTTTCCTTTTTGGGTGAACTATTCCTTTAAATCATGCTGTAAAACTATATATTTCCAGCACTTGATCCTAGCCTGGGACCCGGGTTGTTTCTAAATAATAATAATAATAACCTGATATAAAAACACATCAAATCAAGGTGTAAACTAAATATTTATTTTTTTAAATTAATTTTTTGCTCATCAAATATTTTTATAAAAAAAAAAAAAAACATGCCATTCTTGAAACTTCTACAATATTTGTGGTTAATTAATCTCATACGGTATATTGACCCAGTGTCTGTTAATACATTTTTTAAAAAACAAGCAACTTTTTCATAATTTCAACATGCCAAATGAAATATTATACACAATATGAGGGACATATTCAGATATTTTATTGGACAAAACGGCTGAGAACCAGACTAATGTGATAAAGAGTAAATGAAAAGCTGATGCCTCCATGAAAAAGCATTTGATTCTTTTTTTCCCCTGATTACCTAGAACGCGTAAAGCAGCCTGCCAGGGCTTAAATGCTTGAGGTAACAGTATGACAAATGTCTGACAATAATTTTCTCTCACATATGGCAGGATTGTTTTACATTTGAATTATTCTTCCAAAATTCCAAAAACAATTCACACATTGCTTCAATACAAAACAAATATTTCAGCATGCTTTGTGCTTACCCAAGGCTACTTTGTCATTCACGATGCAGTGAGTGATCAAATGCGTGCCAGCTCTGCAAAAGATTTACGACTGCTTGTGGAGCAGCTACATTACATTACACACCTATGAACCTGCCAGCTGTAATTTGTGTAGGAACGTGTCCAGTCATTCTGTGCATATGCTATTGCTTGCACTTTTGTTAAGACCTATTATCTAGCAATACAGTAACATGGCCTGATCATAGTACACCTACTGTACCTCAGGGACACTTCTTGAGTAATGGCCTCTGGAGACAGATTGCTCATAGTGTTAGTTTATCAGAGAGTCTTGAGAAAACAATAAAAAGAGCAATCTGCTTGAGCTTCCCTGTAACATTATACGTGAAAGGTTCCAGACATGGCTGAAGCGTGTCGAATAATTCGAGCAGAACCGAATGTGGAACTGACACTGGAGCAGAAAGAGGCACAGAGCTGCCATTCAAACATCTAACAAAGGCATTTAGTTGGGCTGCTTGAGTGGGCACAGCCTATTGAAATACTTCCATAATTAAAAGCCCATTCGCCAAAAAACAAGAAAGAAATCATAGCAACTGTCAAAAGCAGCTATTATGTGTGCTAACAAACCGTAAAGCTGAAGATTTAATGGGAGCATTAGCTGTTCTAGAAGCCGTCAGAAAGCATAGTGGTTTGGCCTGCAACGGTTGAGAGTGGAGGAGAGGGATTTATGTCTTGTGTTTGTTTAGGAAATCCAGTCCAGATCTCTACATGCCCCATCAGATTGCTTCATGCTTCTGAGACCTCTGCGAACGTTCCTCTGCTTGTATTCATGATGTCTTGGCACAAAAAAAAAGCATTATATCATATGGGAGCAGCTGCCTCTCTCTCATACACAAACAGGGAAACGTTCCAATTTATGAGCTTTTATCTCCACTGCATTTGGCTTATCGCCAAGAGCCTCTCTCTTGAGAGAGAGGTGAACAAACGCTGCTAACTCTCTAGACAAACATTACTATCAGTGCATTTGCCGACCAGTACAACAAGTAGACATGACTATCTCTCTGCTTCAGCCATTTATGCTGTGTTGTTATGCATAGTATGCACCTAAAAAAAAAAATCAAGGAATTCTTGATTTTTTTTCTTCTAAGTTTAAGAGTCATTGGTGATTCTAGGATTTTTTTTTAAACATTTGCTGGGAGGATAATTAATACATTTTACACATATTTCAACTGAGTTGGAAAATGTTGATTTATCCCTATATAAATTAAGTGTTTATTTAAAATATGGATAAAAAGGACAGGTACTGCAGTGTACTGTGCAAAAAAAAAAAAAAAAGAATACTGAGATTTGATATAAAAAAATTTTAAATACAGTTTATTTAGGTTTTTTTTTTTTTGGTGCTCAAAACAAAAAGCAAGATTATATCACTGTCTGAAGGGTTTTGTAGACGCTGTTATAAAATGACACATAAAAGTACCATGGTACTACCATGTTTTTGCACATACATAATGGTAATAGCATGATATTTTTTGAAGTACCTTGTAATAAACACATAATGTCAATACCACCTGAAATGATAAGTATTTAGTTTAATGGAAATTCACAACAAACACGTCTGCAACAACATTAATCTGAATCAACTATAACAGTTTTTGGATCTGTGCCACAGTAACAAATAGTTGCAAAGATATTTTTGGCAAAACAATCAGTATACATTTAATTACCATTGGGTAGAAAAACTAAGGAACAAGTATTTCCACATTCAGTGAATTGAGTGAATTTCCAGTAGCAAAAATCCTCAATGCTTAATTTATAAAAAGTTTTTTTTTTAACTAGCAGTACAAAACTAGTGTACAGCAGGCTGTAAAATACTTCAAGGAAACACAATATTAGTGTTTTGAAGCTGTAACACTGAGCGATGGGGATGAAGCTGCAATGTGTGATGGACTGTAAAAGATCCATAAATGTAGCACAAAGCTGCGATTCAAACCACACAAAGCAAAATCAAAAGAAAAAAATCCCAATCCCAGTCACACAAATACATATACATGTACACTTGGTGTACAAATTGACTAATATAATAAATTAGCATTTTTCGTTTTTAGTCCACTAATTATCAAAGATCTTCATATTTCTGCAAATATCAATGGATGTAGTGCTGGCTTTTATCATTATTTTAAGCTTGTAACTAAGCTTGCAATTGTGTGGGGACCCTCAGTCCAGGGAGGCCCCCATGGAACGAGATTTCTACCGAAGGGGGGGGCCCCCGGGACCACTCTCAGTGTTTTTTTTCTCAGTCATAATCTCACATAAAGCTACTGAATGGCTTCAGAACACCTGGAACATCCCACACAAGATAGACCACATTTATGATATTTATAGAGAATTTTTCACCCCTTTTAGAAACTTAAAAGCTTCTGCCCCCAATCATTGTAACCGAATTTAAAAATGCACCGTCTTCAATACTTTCTCCTTTTGTATTCCATGGATGAAAGTAAGTCATGAGTTTGGAACAACATGCGTGTGAATATACAGTTTGATGACAGAATTTTGCGGTGAACTATCCTTTAAGAATGTCCTTAATATGAAAATACTTTACTTTAATACCATTTAAATTCTACCTATTAAGAATATAAGTAGTTGGACGGCAATTCAGTAATCTTCTGTGTTAAAAGTCAGAATTAAAATAAAACTGACAGAAATGGTAGAACATTTGTCAATCTATTGGCTGATGTTAACTCATCAGAAAATATGGTCTTTTTATTTCTTTGCTCTTTGGTTCACATCATAAAGCCAGCAGCGACAATGGCAGCTCTGAAAAAGCCCATATTACACTCAGTAACTCATTTGGTTAATCTGACCTACAAAACCCGTTTCTGTAAAAGCATAGGCATAAAAAACCTGGGTAAATTTCGCTCAGCAAGTCCAGTAGGTTGTTTAGGTAAAATTTGTCAGTAGTGCTCTACAACGAAATGTGCTCACAGTTCTGAAGTGCAGAATTCTACATCAACAGTGTTTAGTTGAGTCCTCAAGGATCTTACTTTTCCTCTCCAGTCCAGTGCAGGAACAAACAAGCATGTCTCTATGGATGGTGGTAGTATGGGTGAAAGAGTCTCTCGGGGGCACAGATGCTAAGCGCTGAATGCGTGTGAAGCAGTAACCGGGGGAAACGGGAGGTAAAATATGCCACGAAGCCATCAGGGACTTCACCGAGAGCTGTCTGAACCTCTGGTGGGAGCTCATGATAATGATGCTTCTGTTAAAAACATTAGAAGACAGGTTAGGCAGTATATTATAATATATTATGTTATGTTATATTATATTTTATTTTATATTACATTTTAAAATATATCAAAACAGAAAACAGTTATTTTACATTGTAATATCATTACAAAATTTTACTGTTTTTAATATATATATATTTTTTTTAATCTTTCAAAAACGTTTTAAAAATCTTACAGACCCCTTTTGAATGATAGTGTATTTTATATTATCCTATCAGCACAATATTAATAGTTTTTTGTGTGATTAGTGACTTTTGTATGCATATGTAAAAACACATTAAATTCTAAACACTTACTTTATTTCTCAGTGCTCTAAGTAGGTCTCTCACAGAGTTTCCTTTATATGTACGAAACTTTCTAAGATCTGCCAGATGGAAAAAGATTTATATTAGGCATGCAAATATAAACATGAATTGAAAATGTTTTCATTTCAAAAAAAAAATCAAGGAATTCTTGATTTTTTTTCTTCTAAGTTTAAGAGTCATTGGTGATTCTAGGATTTTTTTTAAACATTTGCTGGGAGGATAATTAATACATTTTACACATATTTCAACTGAGTTGGAAAATGTTGATTTATCCCTATATAAATTAAGTGTTTATTTAAAATATAGATAAAAAGGACAGGTACTGCAGTGTACTGTGCAAAAAAAAAAAAAAAAAGAATACTGAGATTAGTTATACAAATATTTTGTTTATGATTGATATTAAGGTTGCACTTCCATTTGTTACCACTAGTGGGACAGAAATGACACATTTCAATTAAGTTCAATACGTTCTGTTGTGTAGTTTCATTTTGCATTGGAGTAGCCTATTTGGCTGCCCATAACCAGTAATCTTAAAGGGTCAGTTCACCCAAAAATGAAAATTCTGTCATTAATTACTCACCCTCATGTCGTTCCAAACCCGTAAGACCTTCGTTCATCTTCGGAACACAAATTAAGTTATTTTTGATCAAATCTGAGAGCTCGCGGACCCTCCGTAGACAGCAATGCAACTGCAATATTCCCAGGTCCAGAAACGTAGCAAGGGCATCTTTCTGTCTTTGTTTGATCACTTATTTGCACAATAAGGAGCTTTTGGGGCAATGGCTGCTTTTGATAGCCGGATGAAGACAACTGTGTAAATCTTGAAGGTGTTTTTAGGAGCTCTACGTTTTGGATTAAACTGTATTGCCTTTTCCCTTTTTTTCTGATTAGGGACATGTTACAAACCAAACACAAGTGAATTTAGATATATTGTGAAATCAGTGTGGTTAACCTTCGTGTGCTGAGGTGAGGCAGTGAAGATCAAAAGTCCCAGGTCTCACTGTCTGTAGAGATATAGAAGGGAGCTCTAATTTTTAAAGAGTTGTTCAGCTCCAAATGTGCTTTTTTTTTTTTTACTCCCATGTGACACAGTAACAACATACTGATGAATGCTCCTGTTTAGATTATAGAACATCAAGTTCCTTAAATCATATGAGAATTTTTAGTACACGTGAAAATTATAATTGGTACACTGTAATCGTGACCCTTATGTATGACAGTTCTTGTACACTTTGTTGCTCTCTCTTCCTGTAGGTCTTTGTTTTGTGTCATGGCCTGCTCCAGCTCACTCAGCTCTTGTATAGCTCTTACTTCAAGAGCACCATCACCACAATCGAGAGACGCTATGGCCTGAACAGCTTCTCCTCAGGAACCATCTCTTCCCTTCACGAGGTCACATAACCGATATTTAAATTCTACGTATTTTGTCTTAATAGAAAAAAACCCTAAAAACTAAAACCAGTCTCTAATGCTACAAGTGAAATTAGGCATCACAGCTTCATAATGTTCAGTATGAAAACAAAGAAGAGATTTATTTTGAAACTATATAAGAGTGGTAAATTATTAGTATTTTTAAAAACTAATTTTAAGTGAGTGTTAAATGACAGCAAAGGTAATATAAATGTAAAAATAGGGGGAAAAAGCATGTACAACATAATATCCAATCTACAGGTATCTAATATTGGCTAATAAACCAATATGATACCATTATTACATGCCTCATTATGTCATATATGAGGTATTTTTATAATAATGAATCATGAAATTATTAACAGTAAAACGGTCAATCCAGACCAGCTTAGATCAAAATGAATGCTTATTCAGGCTTATGTACAGAACAGCCATTCTGTTATCAGCAAAAAAAAAAAAAAAAAGTTAAATAACCAATCAGTGTTATTTTAGTATCATTGATATACTATTATAATCTGTGACCCTGGAGCACAAAACCAGTCTTAAGTCGCTGGGGTATATTTGTAGCAATAGCCAAAAATTCATTGTATAGGTCAAAATTATAGATTTTTCTTTTATGCCAAAAATCATTAGGATATTAAGTAAAGATCATGTTCCATGAAGATATTTTGTAAATTTCCTACCATAAATATATCAAAACTTCATTTTTGATTAATAATATGCATTGCTAAGGACTTTATTTGGACAACTTTAAAGGCGATTTCCTCAATATTTCGATTTTTTGGCACCCTCAGATTCCAGATTTTTAATAGTTGTATCTCGGCCAAATATTGTCCTAACAAACCATACATTAATGGAAAGCTTATTTAGGCAGCTTTCAGATGATGTATAAACCAGAATTTCAAAAAATTGACCCTTACATTTGCGTTAGTGTTTTAAATTAGATTTTATTTTTCTATCTTCTCTTTTCACTTTAATTTTAGTTAAAGTTTTAGTAATTTTGTTGTGTTTTTGCCATTGTCTATATAGGTTATATTAATTGTATTTATTAGTTTTAGTTTATTTTGTTTTAGTTATGTTAGTACTTTAAGGTCAAACAAAAATGAGATATGATAAATTAACAACAATTACCCTGCAACCGATATGGACTTTCTGATGAGGCTGATTATTCAGGGAAGCTTAAACTTGTTAAGCTAGACACAACATATGACTACAGTATACAGTATGCTGGTCAACAAGGAAGGGGCTGAATACTGTATATTACTGTAGGTATATACACGTAATACCAAATGTATGTGACTTGTTTTTCTTTCCCTTTTTTTATTAGGTAGGGAACACAGTGCTTATAGCATTTGTTAGTTACATGGGTAGTCGGGTTCACCGACCTCGCTTCATTGGACTGGGCGGCCTGCTAATGTCCATCAGTGCCATGATCTTAGCTCTACCTCACTTCCTGTCCCAGCCCTACACCTTTGACTCTGTCCTGCATGGTAAGTGTCATTCAAGCCATTAGCATCCCTACTCATCTCGATAGAACCACATGAAACCAATTAATGTGAATGTATTTGGAAATCTTACACATCTTTTGGAATGAGCTCTGCATTCTTTTTCTCCTCATTTTCTGTCTTAGTTTTTTTTCTTTCTGCATGTTAATATTGTTTCATGCCCCAGAGTAAAGGATCTTAGACTCTAAGCTCATCAAAATGATAATATCACCATATTCATTTAAAAAGGCTCAGGACATTTTGAAGAAAACCAGACACAACAAAGAGGGGATCTAAAATAACACAGCTGGATGATAAACATCAGCTTAGACATAACAGGGTAGGCAGGTCTACAGGAAGTTACTGCAGAGAGACTCCATTTTGACCCTAGTCTCCCTTCTTAGACAGGGTTTAGTATTAGTTTGAGGAAAAAATCATGAAGAAATGAACGGATTGAAGTTGAAAAGGGAATGGAGAGAGAGAAAAGGCGAAAGAGATGAGGACAAAGTAACAGGGAGATACTGTTAAGATAAAGCTGCCTGATTTCTCTCTGAAGAGAAAATCAACTGGAATTTACTCCAAGAGATAACCGTTATCTCTCCCTTGACTTCCTTGGACCTTTTATTTTTGCTTCATTCTCTCACTTCCCCTGCTTCTTCCTGCAGATGCTGTCATTTGGCCATACACATTGCAATGCTATGCAAAGCTTAAATGAAATATGCAGCCACTTACATAAGACCTTCAATGCATAGCTCACTCATTTTTTTTTCTTTTACTCACCTTCATGACGCTCCAAACCTGTTTTGACTAAAACAAAAGGAGTTGTATCGTAGTTGGTCCAAGCTTCTTATTTGCATACAATTAAAGTGAATGGTGTCTTGTCTGTTTATGGTCTACATCCACTTTGTTGTATGGATAAGAGTAGTGCTGTCAAACAATTAATCGCATCCAAAATAAAGGTTTTTGTTTACATAATATATATATGTGTGTGTGTGTGCTGTGTACATTTATTATGTATATACAGGTGCATCTCAGTAAATTAGATTGTCATGGAAAAGTTAATTTATTTCAGTAATTCAAAATGAAATTGTGAAACTCGTGTATTAAATAAATTCAATGCACACAGACTGAAGTAGTTTAAGTCTTTGGTTCTTTTAATTGTGATGATTTTGGCTCACATTTAACAAAAACCCACCAAATCACTATCTCAACAAATTAGAATACTTCATAAGACCAATAAAAAAATCAGCAGTCTTCCCCATGATTGTGTAGCCTAGTGAACCAAACTGAGAGACCATTTTGAAGGCTCAGGAAACCTTTGCAGGTGTTTTGAGTTGATTAGCTGATTGGCATGTCACTATATTCTAGTTTGTTGAGAAGTGAATTGGTGGGTTTTTGTTAAATGTGAGCCAAAATCATCCCAATTAAAAGAACCAAAGACTTAAATTACTTCAGTCTGTGTGCATTGGATTTATTTAATACACGAGTTTCACAATTTGAGTTGAATTACTGAAATAAATGAACTTTTCCACGACATTCTAATTTATTGAGATGCACCTGTATATAAATACGCACACATACGGTATATATTTTGAAAATATTTACATGTGTATATTTATATTCAGAATTTATATTATATATACATTTATTTAATATATAAACATAACATATTTTTCTTAGAAATATACATACATGTGTGTGTATTTATATATACATAATAAATATACACAGTACACATATATTATATTAAACAAACTTTTATTTTAGATGCGATTAATCACGATTAATCGTTTGACAGCATTAGATAAGAGCAATTTGTACAATATACTTAACTCTATTTGTGTTCATAAAAGTTTGAAACATTATGATGTGAGTAAATGATGAACAATTAACCGTCAGGAGCACATTCACCCCTCAAGTTCACACTTAAAAATGCAGAATGTTATGTTTTCATCATTCCAGTAAACTTTTATGAAAGTTTCTAAACACGGATTTTTGGACGGATGATGTGAACTGGTGGTTAGGATGAATATGGTGTATTTCTTTGTCTCAATCCCACAGCGAGCAAACAGGACATGTGTCATTTGCATGCGAATGCAACGGATGCTGAGGCTTGTGGTCAGGAGGATTCACGGAAGCTTGTGGACACCAGTAAATTTTGGGTGTTAAT